AGGATAAAGAAGTTAATCTCAGATTTTAAAGCACTGATGCTACCACACATATAGAAATGAATAGCTTTGGTATTTTGTTAGCAAGGATTTACCTAGAGGAGCCAAGAAGATTGATCAGTGCAGACTATCAGAAGTATGGCCTTTACTTCTCAAATGTGTGGCTGTCTCACCGAATACTTCCAGAAAGGCTTTGCATCAGTGACTGGGATTCACAGAGTAGCTCTGACTACAGTGATGGTACTTGTAGCTTCTGTTTATCCAGTGTGTTCTCCTTCCGTCACTTCAGGGGAGTTAAGGCCTGCGGGCTATCGATGCGGATGGTGTGAATGTTGTGTCTGCTTTGATTCTTGCCTCTTCCTCAGGCCTCAGTTTTTCTATTTGTAAAAGGAGCTCCTGACAAAAAGGACCTCAAAGTATCTGGGCAGATCAAATGAGTTGATACATGAAGCAAGTGTTTAAGTAATGGCAGCTGTAACTCCTTTGTACCTTTCTCCATTGGACCAAATTTACTTCCACGAGGAAGCCTTTCACTTTTGACTATGCTCTTAACTTATTACAACCTATCTTTTCAGCTTCCTGGTAGAATTTCATGCTACAGAGAGCTACAGCCAGTGGTTCAGAAGAGGCTATTGTCATTGCTTATCCTGTCTCCTTAATGAAGAGGCAGGATTCTCCAGTGCAGTGCTGCCTCTTGCTCAGGCTTCCCTTGGCTGCCCTGTGCAGAGGACAGGCTGGCCAAGAAAGACGCCTAGTCTTCCAAAAGAACATGCCTAGTCTCCCTCTTCCTTTCAGAGGTGACCTACCCCTTCTATCTGACCCTAGCAACGTACTCCTCTTAGCTGACCTCGGCATTTGGTCCTGTGTTTCCATTGCCTTCCCTTTCTGCAGCTGCTGTTGCAAGGGAAAAGCACCTGCCTGTTGAGAAGTTTCCTTTAGTGTGGCAGTCCCAGAAAACAGATTGAGCCAGAGCCAACAGTGGTCCTAAAAGATATTCCTGATGAGGAATACAGAATGGAATATCTCCCTAGGTGGAGTTGTGCCCAGGAAGGCAAGCAAGACCTGGTCTTCAACATCCATGTGGTAAGTTGCACTCAATCATAAAGATAGAATAGAGTCACTTAGAGGCAGGAGAGGTGGTTTCACATCCTCTGCATGATCATCCGCTCTTTACTGCTTAGTATCCTACTTCATTCAGTTGTATGAACAGAATGTTGGTGGGCTGGGGATTTAGCTCAGCGGCACAGAGCCTGCTTGGCAAGAGGGAGGTCGTGAGTTCGATTCCCGGTACCGGAAAACAAACAAACAAACAAAACAAAACAAAAAAAACCCCAGAATATTGGTTGACCTCTTTTGTGAAGGAAAATGCTCTTGTATAGTTCATTGCATGAAGGAAGCATATTTTATCTCTCTTTCTTTCTTTCTTTCCTTCTTTCTTTTCTTCCTTCCTTCTCTCTCTCTCTCTCTCTCTCTCTCTCTCTCTCTCTCTCTCTCTCTCTCTTTTTCTTCCTTTGAAATGAGAAAGCCAGTGAGGTATGGTGGTGCACACCTCCCCAGCACTCAGGAGGCTAAGGGAGAGGACTGCCATGAGTTGGAGACCAGCCTGGGCTACATACTGAGTTCAAGGCTGGCCTAAACTACACAGCAAAAGCCTGTCTCAAAAAAGCAAAACAAAACAAAATGAACAACAACAACACAAAAAAGAAATGAGAGAGCCAATGAAAAGTAGTAATACGTATGTTACAAGTTGTGGGAATGAAGTTGAAGCTAAAAAGAACTGTTTATATTTCTCCCTCTTATCTTACAAATCAAGAGATTTATTGTCTATTTTCTTAGTAAGGTGGGAGCATACCTGCATATGTAAGTTTTTAAAAGGCAAAGGGGAAAATCAAATCCTGTTTCTAGTAATCTGCAGTTTTCTTGAGGCCAAAACCTGTCTTTCCACTTGGGATTACACAGAAGCTTGAGGAAGGACAAGACAAGAGGCCTATCCTCAGAGAGAACACTGCCGCCTTCAGCACTCACAGGCTTTCCAAGAGACTCTAGGTGAGAAAGAAAATTCTCTGAAATTAGGACTAAGTTAAAAATCCGTCTGTAAGATTTTGAAAGTACATCAAAAAGAAGCAGAAAGAAAGAAAAAGAGGAAAGAAAGAAAGAAAGAGAGAGAGGGGAAGGAAGAAAGCTCTAATGTTTTTAGAAGAAGAGACCAACATAAGAGAAACAGTTAAGTACTGTACGTGGGTCCACACACTTCATCAAGAGAAGGGCTTTGTGTCAGGACGAAAGTGAAGATGCATAAATAGCCTTGGGTTTTGTAGCTTGAGCGGAGATGGGAGAAACAGAACTTTGAGCTTCAGATCAAACAAAATGAGAGCAGAGATGGTCTCTTTCCTGTTCCCCCAAAGCCATCTGTTCTTATCATAAAGGTTATAAAAGCTTTTTTTCAGACTAGCTGAACAAAGTAGACACTATTCCTTCCTTGGGAAAACTTGCTTATACTGTATCCCCTTTTCGGTACCTGCAAAATTGGTGAAGTTGGTTCTTCTCTATTACCCTAAATTCTTCCACATTCAGCAAGTATTAACAGGAAAAGGCTTTAGTCACCAATAGCAGTGAATGCAGGAGCTCTGAAAGGGCCTTAATAAGCTGGTGGCACTGAGAGAGGGAAAGACAGAGACACAGTCTCAGCTCGTGCTTAGAGAATGAAAGCACAGAAGATACCGGAATCCAGGTAAATTTATTCTGACAGTGACAACAGCCTCATCTCTGATACAAGTCATATCGGTCCAAAGGTTCATTTTGAAACTGTCAAAGCTTTCAAGCAGAAAATTATTCTCAGTGGCTGCAACTTGGTTAAACAAATTTCACGGCATGAGGAAAAACGAAGTTACTTTTGGAAGTGTCTTAGCAAAAGAATCCCAGGCAGGAAACCAGAAGTAACGCTGTTAGCCAGACAGGTAGTGCCATTTCCAAGCTGGGGCCCAAGAAAAGAGATGACTGGTGAGCAGGGTGTAGGGACAGAAGAGGTGGCATGGGCCCGCCATGGAAGGCGGCCTAAACATGTTTGGGAAGAGGTGAGTAATCAAAGCCAGTGTGGCGCCAATTTCAGGCAAAACAGTGGGTAGTTTGACCCAGGAGTCAAAACTGAGGCAATTCGAGGAACAAAATAGATAATGACAATACTGGACACAAACAGAATAAAATAAACATCCATGATTCCAAGCTGATATAAACACATAATTAATGGGGAACAACAAATGATGATGAAAGAAAAGACAGCTCTTACTTAGAATACCTATCAATAAATAAGGTATAAGAAAAATAGAAAATACCCATTAGGCAAACATGACAGTGATAATTGTTACATGCAAGAATTATTGATGGATCCTCACACTAGTGGGCAAAACTATGAAAAGAAAAAGTTAAATTGCTTTTGCTAGGTATTTGATACCTTTTGCACTGGCTGAAGTATTTTCGTATCAGATGTATATTAACTATAAATTTAAAAAAGCTGTCTTCGCAGGTGAGAAAGCTGACTGACACAATTTTAACTGAGCGGTCAGATTTACTGTCTAACACCAGTAACCCTGTGCCCCCTCATGTGACACACTGAGAAGGGGACAGCAACATATCAGTGTTACCCCAAATACGTACTCTCAATCAGATCATGAGAAACATCAGAGAAATGCAGAGAGAGGCAGTGTATAGAGAGACTGATCTAAACTCTTCACAAGAGTCAAGGCTGTGACACAAGATAGGGTGAAGTAAAGGAGAAGTGGAGGTGTGCATGTCATCCCAGTGGGTCTCTTGTCCCAGTAAAGGACATTACTGGGGATTTATAGTCAGAATAAGGTTTACAATTAATTAAGAGCTCTGTCCTACTGTCAGTTTCCTATTATTGATAGCTGTAGACCATGGTTTGGGTTAGATGTTGACATTAGAGGAAGCTGGGTTAAATGTAGCTGAGAACTCTCGGCACTATGTATACAACTGATCTGCAAAATTATTAAAAAACAAAAAGCTGAAGATAGAATTAAGCTTAGCTGGATTTCATTTGGCAGCCAGGCAGGACGAGGCTGAGACGAGCACAGTTCTCAGGTAAGACCCAAGACCATGACACAAATTAGCGAGAGAAGAGTCAGGAAAGGATGTATCAATGCGGGCCTCTGCCATTCTCGCCTCTGCTTGATCAGAGGACAGTACTCCCTATAGCAATAGTCTCCCTACCCTGTGCACCCTGGGTGTTGCCCAGCCTCTTCTCCATTCTCCCGATGAACAGCAGTGGTGGCCTCTGCCAACAGAAAAGTATCGGCACAAAACCTGCACGGAAGGTTTCAGAGGCCGTGGCCTCACGTGTAGGCAGAGCTGTGAACAGTGAAGTCAGCAGGTAACCTGGGGAAGAAAGAGCCAGCCAGCAGGGCCCCTGACATTTACAGAGCAAGCAAGAAAAATGGGGGTCTCCTCACCCATCTTCAGTGACCTTAATTCCTCCATGACATCCCTTCTCTAGAGTTCTCAAAACAAGGCTAATGTATCAAGCTATTCTAGTCATTTTACCCAACAAAAAGTCACATCTACAAAAAAAATTGACACTCAAATCCTTTTTCCAGACCTTGTAATTTCAAAAACTCTTAAATATCAACTAGAGCCAGATGTTTACTTGAATGTTACCAATTTGATAAGCAGAACTAATTCTCATAGTGCTAGTGTATTTCTTGCTAGATATTAAAATATTTGTAGAGAGATGCATCAAAGCAGTTATAGGAAGACTTACAAAAAGAGATGCAAAGTGTTATGTTCCAAACATGGTTTGCAGCTTAGAAAAATGTAGTGATTTAGCATAATTCTAAGTAGTTCTGGAATGGCTAGTAGTGCAGGCACTCACTGTCATTGTAGAGATAACTGCGCTGTGATTCACCCAGAATTATGCTGTACACCAATCACACACTGAATCATTATGAGAGCAGGCCCACCTCTGTACCATGCTCAGGGGCCGTACATACCTCCCACTGCATTACAGCGAGATGTCATTTCCCAAAGCACCAAAGCCATGGAGTAGACATCGGTCTGCTTGAAGGACTCAACATTCTCCAAGTTCATCCTGGATTCCAGGACCTCTGGGGCCATGTATCTTGCAGTTCCCACCTAAAGCAAAAATAGACGTCGAGGTCTATCATTTAATTCCAGTTGCATCTTTGTCTTCACAATGTAGCAAGTGCTTGTCCCTCACAAGAGCAGGTGATGTTTGAAATAACGAGCACTGCACAGAGAAATACAGCTTCTATGGTGAATTTTAAAACTAGATGGTCTCTCCCTGAAAACTCTTTAAAGACTATGAACAAAACATGCTGAAATAGGGAAATGCCAAAACCCAGCGCTGCCTTATCAAGTCTCATGATAGATGGCATCACATTATCCAATAACATCCTTACAGATAACTTGAGACAACATCGGTGATATTTTAGATGTTTATTTTTGCTTTTGCAAATTAAACATTTTTTAATTCTTGAAACTTCAAGGCTTACAATGAAAATAATCACCATCAGTTTTCATCATGTAAGAACTGTTTTAATCTTTATTTACCCCATGGCACATTCCGGGATGTCAAGGGTGTAATATAATTTCATAAATCTCCACAAAATGAAAGTCATGTGGAAGTATTTCACAGTAAAAGACTAGAGCTGGATCACATTATGATTTTCATGGGTGTGCCACAGAGGTGTGTTTTGACTTTTAAGCCTGTGCTGCTCTCTATTACTGCCAGTATGCAAACGGGGGACCCATAGAAAAAAGAAGAACTATTTTTAGGAGAAACATTTCAAATTTAAATGCTTAATAGTGCAGCCTGGACAGCCTGAAGAAAAAGCAATAATTGTCCTACCTTCCCAAGGACTTACAGAAGGTCAAGTAATTTGTTATCATTCCTATGAATATTTCTTATTGACATGTAGCAGAAGAAATTTTTCTTTTTAACAGGTCACTGCATGACTCATTATCCTGGCACATTAGTTTGTTTGTGTTTCAACATGTCTATCTTAATACTCCTGTGCTGGCATGGGCACAGCGGGCTGACTGAGCGGTAAGTGAAGGTCCCAGAAGCATGTGCTTCCACATAGCTAGAGAAAATAGTGATGGTTCTGATGAACTCCACACTGTGAAAATGTGGGGCTCATCGTTCAGACAGGATGCCTTGGTAACATCTAATATCGTTCCAATAACACCTTCACCCAAAAGGTTTCCACTTTAACCTCCGAGAATGTTTCAAAAATGGAACTGCTCATTTGTTCAACAAATACTTACTGCCCACTTTCACTGTTCAAGGCATTGTGTTAGGTGTCTTGACATGGAGGTGGATTTGGTCTTCAAGGAAACTGCCTTCTGGAATGTAACTACCGATGTAACTACCAGTGGTAGAGGGTAGAAAGGACCATGCACCATTATGAGAGGGAAAAAATTGAGATAAAATGCTAGCAGCACTTGAAGCGAAGAAAAATCACTTGCAAATGGCAATGAGGATTGATTCTAGGAGGAAAATGTGTGTCCTGAGTTGGGAAGGCTTTGATGACTGGGGCAGAAATGCTGCCCATTAGCAAAGGTATCCAGTCACGAGACAGTGAGCATGCCCTGCCTTGACTCCTGGCTTTGACTAGATTCCTAGCCAAGTATCCAGGGCCTCGAACTACATGAGACAAGAAACATGAGTTATTTATTAAAAGGTACGGTGTTGCCAGCAACAAGGAAAGAGGATCTAGCACCAGTTCTCACTTACCTGCCCACTATTAGCCAGGTCATCTACAGACAGAGTAGGGTCCAGACGCAGGGAAAGCCCAAAGTCACACAGGCAGCAGGTCAGGTCGTTCTTCACAAGGATATTGGAGCTCTTGAGATCTCTGTGCACAATGGGCATCTTGGGTCTCCCACATGGTGTGTGGTCACTATGGAGGTGGGCGATGCCCCGGGCAAGGGAGCTGCCCAACTTGCGCAGGTCCTCCCAGCTGATGACATGCCGGGTGAGGTACTCCTGAAGGTTGCCCTTGGCATGGAAGGCAGTGATCAGCCAATACTGTTTCCCCAACTCTGTCTTCCGCTCCTCAGCTGTGAGGAACTGCAGGATATTCTCATGCTTCAGGTTGATGTCGGAGAAGATGTCTTTCTCTGTTTTCCAAGAGGCATACTCCTCATAGGGGAAGATCTTGACTGCCACAGTCTCAAACTGCTCTGAAGTGTTCTGCTTCAACTTGGCCTTATAAACCTCAGCAAAACGGCCTTTGCCCACAAGTGTGTCGAGCTCGATGGGCAGGAGCTCCGTGTTGTGGTTGATGTTGTTGGCACACGTGGAACTGATGTCAGAGCGGTCGTCCTCCAGAATGATGGCACAGTGCTCACTGAACTCCATGAGCTTTCGTGGCTTGCTGCTTTCCCAGGATGGGCTCAGCTTCTGCTGCCGGTGAACGCGGTAGCAGTAGAAGATAACGATGACAGCTATGGCGATTCCTAGAGGTGGCAGCAGACTGATGCCTGTCACTTGGAATATGACTAACCACAAGTCAGGACTGCTGGCAGCATATTCTGATGCGGAAAAAAAAAAAACAAAGGAGAGAAAGTTGGGTCAGTAGGCACATGCTGTCAAGAAGTGAATCCATGTCTCAAGCATCCATCCATGTTAGCATCTGTGTATAGTTTTTGTGGATGTTTTATTATCAATATTCTCCAGTCCAGGATTGCTAATATATACCTGTTCATTCTTTCCTATCTCTGGCCATCCAACGTCTCCTACCCTTCACCAATTGCATCTTAAATGTCACTCCCTAAGGGAAATCCAGGAAAAGTTGGTAAAATATCATTTTTATATATCCTCATAGTACAATGAGCCCACATTGGATTTGTATGTATCATTCCCTGCTAGCCCCAGCAGACAGGGTGCCCTACGCCGGATGGGACTCCTTCACTGAGGTAAACAGCATTCAGCACACAGTAGATCCTCAGTATTATTAAATGAAGACAAAATATTTTCTAAAGGTTAACTACGGCCAAGGCATTGCAAATGGCATTGGCAATGTAGACAGGATGGCGCCATTTCTACCTTCAGAAATGCTGCACAGGTGAGGTCTTCTGAAAACAGATACCGTCACAGTCTGACACAGTCTTTGCTCCTTCCCCAGTTCCAACCTTGTGCCGCTCTGATCACCATCCAGGCTGCCCTGACTCATCAAATCTGAGCTGTTAGAGGAATTTACGGAAAGGATTTCTTTGGAGGTTTGTTACCTTCTGTCCACCTAGTACTCCTCTTTTCACTGTGCATGCAGTCTGTCATTTCACAGAACATAAAAAATTAATAGTAACAAAGGAAACACTACTACAAAGGTAGGAGAAGTTACAGGTAGAAATGTAGCCAGTTTTCTGACTTGGAACACTGAAGCAGGACGAAGAAATGTTTATCTAACTTTACTGTTCCTTTGCCTGCCTTGGTTGGCTTTGATTTGCTTTTCTTTTGGGAAAAGAAACATGGATAGAAGCATGCAGTCAGCAGGAGACAATAAAAGGCAGTAATAGTTCAATGAAAGCATAAAACTGGTGCTTCCATTGGGCAAAAATATGAGAATTCTATTGCTTGATGTGTCATTCATCTGCCCTTGAAGTTACTGAGCAGGCCTCATGCTCAGATGTCAGCTTTATCCATTAAATACATCAGTGCTGAGTGTCTACTATGGGATGACACTGCCTTCAAAGAGCATCCCGTAGAGGAATTAATGAATAAATGCTGACCAACATACAGCATTCTGAAATGGGAGCTAAATGTGTGGTGCAGTCTATGTCTTAGTGGAATATGAAAAAGATTAGAGAAACATGCGAAGCACAGTGGCAATAACTGAGTTGGTCTCTGATGGAATGGACAGGTTAATGGGGGGCAGAAACAGTTGTCCAGCTGTCCTGATCAGCAGAAAGAATATATTCTCTCTCTGGGAACTCTCCCACCATTACTCTGCACAGGGAAACAAAAAAGGGAAAGAGCTCAGTAAGGGATATGGAACCAGACTTCATGTCATAGAAGTGATTTTTAATTCAGTGGACAGTTTTTACCTCCAGTAGGTGTCTGAGGAAAAAAAGTGAAGAGGCACAGCCCAACAGTCCAAGTGCAATAGAGATACCCATAATCTCTCAGAGAGAACTGATTACCTAGATAGTGTTTGTTATCACTTAATGAAATATAGTCAGAAATGAAGCTAATACGTGCCAATTTTGAATGGGTAGTTATAGTATGATACACCACACAACATGATTTAGTATCTTTCTTGAGGTAGTTTTAAGTGGAAATGCCAACTTCATTGACTATAAATTCTAAGATCTTAAATCTACCTGACACAACTAAAGCAATCCTAAAACTTCAGAATTTCAGCAATGTGGAGGGGGAAAAAGCATCATTTGAGGGAGAGACATATTAATTCACTTACAAATTGGGAGAAGGTATATAATTTGGTGGTTGAAACTTGAAAACAAGTTCTTATGCTGGGAGGCTTAGACAGAGACAAAGAACAGAAAGGACTAGGGACAGAAGTGACAATGGACCAAAGCAACTATAGAAAGGAACCAAATACAAAAGGGAAAAACCATGGAGTGTCCCTGTTGTCCCACAAAATATGAGCCTGGAGGGCAAAATTAAAGAGACAGATGAAATAATATTCAACTGCAACAGCATATTGCAATTGTTAGCTCCCTGAAATGAAACTCTACCTCTATTATCTAAAACATCCCATGGATGGATCTGCTTATAATGCACACTTGTTTCAATTCTCTATGTCTGTAACTGTATGAAATAGTTTATATCATAAATCGGTTTCATTACCTGGTGGAGTGATTGGCTTTCTTGGAATAAAATGAGCTCTATATGAGCAATGGCCAGGTCTATTCCAATGTCCAGGACGTGCCCTGTACCCAGAGCAGGGCTCTGAACAGTATTTAATGAATGTTGCAAAAGTTGGATGAACGGTACTTGTGTGGGATGGTATTCCTCGGATTACTTATGTGCTAAGCCATGGTTTGGCAAACTATGGCCCTAGAGCCCACTACCAGTTTTTGTACATCCCTGTGACATAGACCTCTTTCACTTCATTTTAAAAGAGCTATTAAATACACACACATACACACAAGCACATGAATGCACAACCACATAAACAAGCAGAGGATCCTGCAACTGAAATCCTATCTGTAAATCCTAGAATATATACTGTCTTACCCTTTATAGAAAATGTTTGCTGAGTCTTAACTTATAGGTATTATTATTGGCAGAATTTGGAGAGACTTTACTTTGGTCCAATGTGAAGTTCTTCTTCACACATAAGGAAAAGTAACTAGAAAAAATGTAAACATCAACTACATCATTACTAGTTGTGTCTCCAATTCATTATAATACCCAAGTGAACTGTTTAAATAATAATCATTCATAATTTTATTTTAATCATTTCTAGCCATATATAAAAAGGGTCTTCCTTGCTAATTTCTATTCCTTTCAGGCTAAGGAAAATACACGATCAGAAAGCCCCTGAAGTTTATGTGTGGTACTGACCACAGAAAATTCTACAAATCTCCAGTTCAATGCTAGAAACCAAAGTTTTACTTTCTTCTCAAATTTCCTGTGATTTCTTTTTGAAAATCTACATGTAAAAATTTGCAGGGGAGGAATTACTGAACAACATCTGTCAATCTTGAAACTTGAAAGAGACAGTAAAATCCCCTAACAATAGCAAACCAGTCTGGAAGGAAGCTTTGGGGTGCGGCTCTTTCTAAGCAGCAGACATCCACATCCTCTCACACTATTAACTCTTGTGCTGCTAGTACAGAAACTAATCACTGTAGGTGTAGGCACAGGCTGGCATCTCCCTCACTTAGGGACCAAGAGGAAGTCCTTTTCAACACCCAACTACAAAGACACTCATAGCCTGAACATTTACTATGTACCTGGCTGTGAGCTAAGTGTTTTATACAATATCTACACTTAATTGACAGAAGTATTATGTGAGGGAGAGGCTACTGTTATCATACATCCCATTTTACAGATAGGGAAGCTAAAGGTCAAACAGTTTAAGTAATTTCCCAAGATCATCAACACAGGTAATAGCAAAGCTGATATTGGCAATAAGCTCTGAATGGACAGAGCTCTGAACATCAAGCCATAATCTATAAATTTCACATTGGTGAAAGAGGCTGAACTAAGTGCTTTCATAGCCACCTGCTCAGTGACACTGGCAATTCGTGTACGATGCGTATAAAAAGGCCTCTGCTGGATGTGCAGACTATTCTCCTTGGTTCTCAATGAGAACCCCTGCTAAGTAGCGTCCTTGCAAATCTGTCTTCTCCCTGCCTGGGAAAGAAAGGTCTTACATGAAAGAATCTGAAAATCATTTCCCCCACTTCAGGGCTTACCCTAAACCCTGAAAGGGGACTCAAGACAAAATTGTTGAACTATTAGAAGCTTCCATGAATAGTTTCTTGTTATGGAACATCAAGCTAGGTACAGGTCTGAATGGCCGTTTTCTAAAGTTCATAAAAAAATGAGGCTCTATATCCACACACACACACAAAAAAATCAGAAATTCTTAGCCTGAGCTCCATGAATACAATTCAATGGTTTTGTGAACTGAGCAAAAATTACACCTTCCATTTACTCCAACCTTTAACTAAACCTTTGAATAACATTTCCTAGGAGCAGTTGTACCTGTGACTCTCTCCTCAGTTGAAATTATAAATATTTTCACTCCATGTTATGTTTGTTACAGATGTCTCGGCAGATTGCTTATGCATGTCACTCAGACATTCAGATGTGCTGTAAACATTCTCAAAGCATTACTACAGAAACATATTACCATATCACAGATTCATTTTTAAATATATTTGATCATGGAATCTCAATATAAGTGACGCCCCCCAATACTGGGTGCTATATTTTATTCATTTGAAAACTTCACTCTGAGAAGGGGTCTACAGATTTCAGGAAGTCTATGGCACACACATGAAAAAACCAAAGCTCTCTGGGCAAAGGGAAGGCACTGGAGCTCTGCTTTCTCTGCCAGGCTTACCCAGAGCAAAGATCTTGAGATTTGTCAGTTTTTCTGAGAAGTTGATCGCTGGAGCCTGGCTTGACGTGGTGTGTATGTGTTCTATATAAGCAATGGTAAATTCTGCCTCCCTGGAATTTTCTTAACAATAATACAAAGACCCCGTGAACTAATAAAAATTAAAATTAAAAATAATAAAGATAAATCACACATAATATACTTTCCTGGGCCAGGTCCTGAGTGGCCATCACCTAGTTTTATTTTCCCTACAACTCTCTGAGTTTCCATTACTACTCAACAGGTACTACTATTGCCCCCATTTCGCAGAGAAAGCTCTTGAGCTGTGGATGTGTCTACAGTGTTCTTGTTTCCTTAGTAAATAAAGATTGTTATGAAGTAAAAGCTTCCCCTAATAGGTGCTCAATAAATAAACAGACTTTAACTAAGGGACTTACTTAAAATAATTAGGGAATTTCAACAGTTATGACGAGAAAGAAGTATCAGATCTGGACATAG